CTTCTCCTTCTTCATCATCATCATCATCATCATCATCATCATCAAAGATGCTCCTAGCTCAGGCCCCCGTGTTTTGTGCAGGATAACTATTCAACTGAGGAAAGGTTCTGAAAAGTGTAAGTGGAAAAAGAAGAAGGAGCAAGGAGTGTTTTCTTCCCCCTCTCTCCCACTCTCTCTAAAAATCATTGGAAAAAACATCCTCGGGTGAGGATTAACAACAACAACAAAAGAAACACCTCTTTCTTCCCCTAGAATGAGGGATGGATCATCTTTGAATGTATTTCCATCCACACTAGCTGTGATTTTGCAAAGTATACTAAAATAGAAGTACTTGGACTTCAGAATTCTGGCCAACCCCCAGAAGATATTAAATACCACAGAGCTACAATTTCATTTATATGTGGAATTTACGATAAACAATACAGAATCAAATTTATCGATACAGAGAACAAATTGGTGGTTGCAAGATGGGAGAGGGGTTTGAAAAGATGGGTGAAAGGTGAAATGGATTGAAAAGTACAAATTGCCAGTAATAAAAATAGTCATGGAGCCCTGGCCAGGTGGATCAGTTGGTTGGAGTGCCATCCCATACACCAAAGGGTTTCTGGTCAGGGCACATACCTAGGTTTTGGGTGTGATCCTCAGTCGGGGTGTGTACGAAAGTCAACCGATCAATGTTTCTCTCTCACATCGGTGTTTCTTTCTCTCTCCCTTCCTCTCTAAAAAATCAATAAACATATCTGTGGGTGAGGATTGTTTAAAAATTGCCATAGAGATGTAAAGTACAGCACAGGGAATATAGCCAATAATATTGAATAACTATGTTATGGTGTCAGATGGGTACTAGACTTACCAGGGGGATCACTTTGTAAGGTATACAAATATCTAACCACTAAGTTATACACCTGAAACTAATATAATATTGTATGTCAACTCTAATTTTAAAACAAATAGACAATACTACAAACACATAATGCTCTACTTTTAGAGTCTTTGAGTGTGGTATTCCATGGAAATGTCTGGTTGAGGCAGAGAACATATGATGCATATCTAGACATTTCATCTTTGGGCTTACTGATCTATTGTATCAGAGTGGAAGACGAGTGTGAACTGAGGCTTGCAGTTAAACTTTACAGTTTGTGGAGCAATCCTAGTCAATCGAGAAAGCTAACATTCAGGAAAGTTCCCCATCCCTTTGGTCATCCTGCTCACATCATCACTCCATTCCCCAGTCAAGCTTTACATTAATAAATGGGGGTTTATTTTATTGTGTTTTCTGCAGATCTTAGAAAGGGCCAAAAGGAGAATATATTTCTCTGTGAAGGTTGCAGTCTTAATACTATAGAACAAAATACACACGTTCCTTATCAAGAAGAAAAATGTACCAAGGATTGGCTTTTAAAAAGAGTCATACTGGGAAGAGGAGGAGAACTTTTTTGGAGTATATGTGTGTGCAGTAATGAGGAGGAAATTGAGTGCAGGGAAAGCTATTCAAATTAGCCTAAAATAGAGTTTATACATGAAATCTACCGCTTACCTCTGTTGTTATTACATGATCCTATTGTCAATGGTTAACAAAGGAGTCACTGTCTCTTTAAGCTATTCAGTGCTGGGAGTCCCCAAGTGGAATTTCACCGTGTGTGTGTGTGTGTGTGTGTGTGTGTGTGTGTGTCCCTCCCCATGATGGCCAGCTTAAAGGACAGCACAGTGTGGATCTACTCCAGTCAGTGCTGGTCTCATAACATTCTCATGCACATGATGTTAGGCCCCAAAATGTTTCAAATGCACCCTCAGACTCTGTTGCCTGGTACATTATTTCCAAAAAGAGTTGGCCTCCAGTCCTAACTGCCTGCACACTGCGCAGTGAGGAAATGCACATCTTTCCAGAGCAGAATGAGCAATTTTCCGTTGCTCCTCTTCCCACTGTCTCCCAAAAAGGGAAAGGGAAAGTGGCTTAAGTATTCACAAGCTTGGAAAGCAGCTCAATAAACTACGGCTTTGGAGAAAGAAAACACAGAGCTTTCAGCTACAGGATCCTGTGAATATGAACCAAAGAAAAGGTAAATCACCAATTAGGAGACCTGAGCGTGGACTGTGAGGCCTGGGAAGATAACTGAGTAGGAGGCTGTCAATTGTGAAAGCTTCCAGCCCACGTGAGAGAAATATGCAGGGTCCTTCCTTCCACTCTATACCCCTTGCCCAGCCCAGCCTCATTGCCTTCTCCTTTTAGGAAACACACACACACACACACACACACACACACACACACACACATACATACACACACACACACACACACACACACACACACACACACACGGTGAAACAAAAATAATGACAACTTAGAAAAAGCAGTTTTACCCTTCCTTTCACCACACATCTTGTTTTTCCCCTTTTGTTTTTCATGTTGACATTTTGCTGTCTGTAAGCATTTCTGAAAGTAGTGCTTGAGTGGAGGTTGGGAAAAGGGGTAAAGTTGGTCAAAATGCACAAAATGTCTATGGATGAAATGTATAGGATTTCACTACAGTTAACAATACTGTAGCATATATTTGAAAGTTGCTAAGAGAGGGCGTCAGAGTTCTCATCACTAGGAAAGAATTATAACTGTGAGATAGATGAAGGATATTCATTAAACTTATTGTGGTAATCATTTCACAATATATATACATGTATCAAATCAGTATACTGTACATCTTAAACTTATACAATGTTATGTCAATTATATTTCAAAACTGGAAAAAATAAAAATGAAAGCAGTGATCCACCAGGTCATTTGCTGTTACTTTTTGTTTCAAAATCATGACTCCTGCAGCTGTAAAGACTGGCTGGAAGCCTTAATCAGATGCTTATGGCTGGTTAATGCCATCAAAATTTTGACCCCAAGTGAAAATGACTTATTCTCCCTTGCTTTAGCTATAGAGTGTTTCCTCGGCTTCCTCACCATGCTAATCATGCTGAAAAACATCCCTTTTACACACACGCAGAACTAAACCAAACCAACCAGGATAAAGGGACACCTAAGAAAGGTATCCCCACCCACTTCTCCCTCACTCACAGCTTTATGGGGCCAGCTGCAACTGGTGGCCAGCTGGAATCCTGGGTGGAAATAAATTAACTGGAAACCTCAAGTCACTGCTGCAGTCAACTGGAAAAAAAGGAGCAAATGCCAGTGCCGCATAGTCCCAGAGCCCAACTCTGAATGCTACCCACAGAACTCAGAGCACCTCAGTGCTTGGGCTGGCAACCATGCAGACCCTGTCTGCCCTCCACATATTTGCTGTAGGGTGGAGGCCAGGCCACCAGCTTTTACACCCCTTGGATACTCTCTAAATGGGAAGGTGAGCAGCTTAGAGGGAATGCTTCCTACAGGAATTAGAAGAGGGGTCTTTGCTCCTTTCTAACTTGGAATAAATACTCTAACCTATTTACTTGAGAGAAAAGCTTTAATCTCTGTTCCAAGTTTTCCATGAGTGATACTACAATATACCACTACTCCTACTAATGACAATAATAATCATTCAAATTTTTCCAGGAGCAGCATTTCTCATTACCTCATGAATTTTTGCTTTCTTAGGAAGAAGAAATACATAAAAAGTTCCTTGGCTTTTCAAGGCAGAAAGGAGATGAATGAAGGTTTAAAAAATAAAGTAGAAAAGAGCCTTTCATTTTTTTGCAAATTGACAAAAAAATAAAGTGAAGTTTTAGGCTGATAAACTTGCCCTTTCCTAGGATCCTTCAAAGAGAGGTGGGAAAGAGAAGGAGGGGAGGAGGAGGAGAGAGGGGAAGGAAGGAAGGAAGGAAGGAAAGAAGGAAGGAAGGAAGGAAGGAAGGAAGGAAGGAAGGAAGGAAGGAAAGGAGGGAGGAAAAAAGTTAGTTCTTATTGTTTACAGCTGGAATTTAAATTACATCATCCCAGCACAGCAAATCCTCTTTTGAAATAGCTGCCTCTCTATAGGACACAAATCTTAGACTCTCTAAGAACACAAAAATTCAGAAGTTTGATGTTTATTGGGAATTTCACGGGCAAACTAGAGAAAAGAATTAGGGCAAATTTGCATCCTTTCATTCCACTAGACGATGCCATCAGGAATATATTCTATAATAACTTCCTTCAGACAAATTCATTCCCAGTTTTCACAATTTTTTTAAGGGAACAAAACAGATCCATACTCTCTCACTAGCCTGAAGATTCTACTGAATTCTATTGATTTTTCTGTCTTTGAACACAAGCTTGTTAACCTGAAACACTAAGGAGATAACTATATTTCACTGAGTTTATAACTGAGCGTTTGAAAACAAAAAGATCCCAAGACAGTGATACCGCCCTCTCCCTGGGATCCCCCCCCTCCCTTTTTTCCCCCCTCAAATTCAACTGCAAAAGCTATGCATTGCTTCCTTAACCCTAGAGCTTTCGCGTCAGTTACAAGAAGCTTTCTTTAAATTCATCCTTCTTTATTACCCTGGTTGGCAAAATCATAGTTCCTGTCTTTCCACCGACTTCTGCATTCCTGCAAGCTAATAGTGGAGGGGGATAAGGTTAGTACCCAACAGCACTGCTGCCGGGCCATCAAGCTGCACTGCCTCCTCTAAGCTAAGAGAGCTAGCGCCCGGCTGAGGCGCTATCTTGGATTAATGGAAATGAGGTCTTCCCAAAACTCCACAGGGACTTCCTTGCAAAAGAAAAAGCCATCAGGAAAAAGTCAGACAACACAAGTACCAGAAGCAGCCTGCTAGACAAGTCTCTCCTACGAGTGCGTCTGCATTTCTTCCATCTTCCCAATCCAGGAGAAGGAGAAATGCCACTCTTCCAGATGATGATGGTGGTGATGAAGTAGCAACTATTTTACCCAAGTAACCATATAAAATTTTTGTGGTCTTGACTTTTATTTGAGATCGCTGATGAGATCAGATGATCTGTACCCTTTCATTCAAGGCAACAGACGTCTTCAAACTGTTTGTTTGTTTTTTTAATTTGATTTTATCCTTTGAAACAGAAAGTGCATTACATTTAACTGGTCTTGCAAGGGGTGGGGGGTGTCTTTTCTCTTTACAAACCGAATTCCTTATATAAATTAATAAATGTTAAAGATGCTAATATATCACCGTTATTAGCTTAAAAAAAGAAAACAATTTACATAGTCTGTAGTATTCTTATCATACAAAACACTTCAAATTCAATTACAGCAACTAAATGGATTTTTATGTTTCTGACCCAGAGCAGTTGTAACAATGCCCACCATCTATTTTAACACGCATTTTTATCAGAAAGGAGTTAAATTAAATACAAGCTATGTAGCCCCTCCCTCCCGAATACTTTCTTTAAATCACTAATAAATAGCAACAAACGACTGTGCAATTTCAGAGAGGAACGGAGAGGCGGTTCTGCTTCTTCTACTTCAAGTCCTGGAGGCTGGAGGCTGGAGCCGCCCGCGCTCGGGGTGGTGGAGCGGGGGGTGAGTGGGGACGAGGCGGGGAAGTGAGACCCTACAAACCCAAACCCCGGAGTAGCTGGAGGAGAGGGGGGCTGAGAACGTTCTTTTCTACGGTCTCCAATTAAGTTCAAAATAAAAGGGGAACGGGCGGTTTTAATAGCTCTTAAAAGGGAGGTCCATCTCTTATACCAAATTCAAAAAACCATTTTACATTTTAAATATTCACAATAAAGTAACTTCTAGTCAGTGTGACTCACGATTTATTTACAAGGGGCCTTCAACAGGTTACTTTAGTCCGCACAGCAGTTTGTGGGGGGGAGGCGCGTCCCTCTTCCCATCCTTGGCGTCCGCCCGCCCGCTCAGCTCCGAGGTCCCCTGCGCGGTAGCAGCCGATCCCACGAAAACTGGTCCCTGAGGGCGCCCCCCCGCCCCCACTTTCCCTGCGATGCAAAGGCCGGGAAGCCTGAGTGCGCTGGGGGTCCGGGCCGCTCCCTCCTGGGATACAGGGAGAGGGTAGGAGCTCGCGCGGAGGACGGCCCAGCGGAGAGTTTCAGTTGCGTTCTTTGGGCAGTGCATTCGTCATTTTTCTGCCTTCTTACCAACCCCCGAGTCTCTCTCCTCCATCTTCCTCAACTTTTAGGTTAAAAAAATAGATATGTACATCTCAGAAAATAGCAAAGGACCCCCCGCAGGCGGGGCGGGGCGGGGCCGGACGGCCGGGCGCGCGCGCGGCCCGCGGCCCCGGGCGGAGGCGGTGGCTGGCGGCGGCGGCGCTCAGGACGAGCCCTCCGCCTCGGACGCGTGCAGCAGGAGGCCGCCGCCGCTGCCCGACTTGTGCTTCTTCAGCAGCTGCGTGATTTTCTCGTCGTCCGAGTTGGGGTCCAGGGGCTTGTTGTAGTCGTCGTCCTCCTCCTCGTTCTCCGAGGCCCCCTTGAGCCGCTCGGTCTCCGAGTCCTGCTTCTTCTTGGCCGTGGCCATCTCCGCCGCGTGCTTCTTCCTCCACTTGGTCCGGCGGTTCTGGAACCAGACCTGCGAGCCGATCAGGGGAGGAGGGGAGAGACAAAGGTGGCAGGGACTTAACGGGAGCGGATTCTGCTACCTCTCCCACATTGCCGCAGTCGCTCCTGCGGGCCCCCGACGGCGGGCCGCCCTCCCTCAGAGACCTCCCTTGTCTGGGCTGTCAAAGTCAGTCTCCATCGCCCCAGGCTCCTCTGAGGAACGGGCACCTACAAACTGCCTGCCCGTTGCCATAGCGATAGGAACAAGAGTATTGAGGTTGTCAGTGAGTGATTTCTCAGAAGAGAAAAAAAAAAAAACTTGGAAACTTAAAGTAAGTGTCCCTAAAAATGAGTGCACTTTTCCACTTTCTAGTTGAAAGTGGAAAACTTTTCCCCTTTTAAAGCTGCCCCTTAAGGACTGTGGTTTTAATTCGTTATATACTTTATTAGATTAAGGTATTCCAAACAACCTAAATGTACTTGCTTTTTAGTGTGATTTGTGGGAGAAAGCACAGCATTTATCCCCCCCCCCCCAAATTACTTCCGTTCGCCTTTGCACTTTTGGATAGATGTTTGTTTCATTTGTCACAAGTCTGAATATACACAGACATGGTAGTTTAAAACCCCATTTACACGTGCAATCATATAAAGTTTTTTTAATCTGCTAAAACAGAAACCTCAAATCACTAATAATAACCAACATGAATGCGTGAAAATATTTAAGACCTGAGTCAAAATCATCAATGTGGTGTGTGTTTGTCTGTCTGGTTTAATGTTTTTCATAAAACCAAAGGCTTAGAGTTTTCATCAGTTTGTTTTGTAAGTGAAATTTTGCAAGTTACATTATTTCCCACTGTTAGCATGCCTAGTTTTTCAAATATTATTTTGATAGTGTTCCTCCCCAATGCACACATTTTATATAAAAATATTCAAGCCTATTCACCACATTTGACACCATGTTTGATACACATATTTTAACTTAAAGCACCAGCAATAAGCAACCAATTTTCCAATCATATTGAATTATCCTCTCTTTATGCTTCTCAGCCATTTTCTCATCCATCCGTTATGTATTCTGTCTAGAGAATCAGAATTGTTATGAAAGTGATTCTGATTTTCTGTATACAGCTGTAATAATTCACGTCTAGCCACACAGACATATTTACAGTGACAAATGAAGACCTCCAGACTACTGTGGCAGGCTCTGCACCAACCATCGCAAAAATAATTTTAACTGTGATGGTATTCTAATAGTCACACAAAAATCACTTGTGAAATTCATTTTATGATGCTTGTCCAAGGGGAAATACACTCTAACCAACAGGCATGGCTAACAGTTATTCCTACTTAAAGAACAGCAATATGACTAATGAAAACAGACTTATAGACAACCCCCCCCCAAAAAAAACCCAAATATAGTAAATGAAGAAGAGGAACAAAAGAGACTACTGGAAATACAGGAAACTGCTAGATTTAATTTATCTAGCTTCCCTTTATTTTTCAAGGAAAGATTTCTAAAATTTGAATCCCTGGGAATATGCTATACAACTCAATTATAAGCTAAGTGACATTTTAATTATAAGTTGTTGTCATAAACAGTAAAATGTCTTGCATCTGTTGATAAACATATTTAAAACAATTCAATTTCATAATAAAGTAATAATCTTGTCAATTCATTTGGAAAATTACTATGCCAAAGTCATTGCCTTCAGCTAAACTAAAAGCAGATTTATCCATGCTAAGTGGTTAAACACTGTAGATTTATTTTTCAAACTGCAAGTTAATGTCTAGTACCACTATAATGCTGATCTACATTAGGAAATTATATGACTGGTGGAGCCTTAATTAACAAACAAAAGCTTGAATATCTCTACAAATAGACTAAACAGAAGCTATCTAACTGGTCTGATCTATTCTCAGGGCTGATATTTCAGTAATGCTTTTATTCTCTAATAATGATGAGTTTCCCCCAGCACATGCTGCTATCTAGATTAACCTCATTTCAAAGGCGGGGGTGAGGGGGACTTGATTCCTTTTGTTCATCAACAGTTTGCCCGCCCAGGAGAGCCTTTAACCTCCACCCCCACCCCTTCGCAGAGCTGATCTCATCTCCTCAGGCTCCTCAGGCCCCGTTTGTTAGATGGGGTGAGGGGCGCGGGGGAGAGGGACGCGACGTGGGTGGAGAGCCTATCCCTGGAGTTGCAAGGTCCACTCACCTTGACCTGACTCTCCGTCATCCCCAAAGAATAAGCCAAGCGAGCCCTCTCGGGCCCCGCCAAGTATTTCGTTTGTTCGAAAGTCTTCTCCAGGGCGAAGATCTGCTGTCCCGAGAACGTGGGTCTCGTGTGTTTTCTCTTCCCGTCTTTGTCCAACAAAATGGATCCTTGATCTGCGATAATAGATAAACGAGGGCAGGGGGGGGAAATCATTGGTTACAAGCGGCTCCGCGGAAAAGAAACGAACTTACAAAACAATGTTTTGGTGGGAAAGAAAAGCTTATCCCGCGGCGGGCTCCAGAAGAGCCGTGGGTGGCGCTTCCAGTCCCACCGCACCTCTTTGCCTTTTGATAGCGCCCTAACCCCCCCCCCCCCCACACACACACCGTTTAGATCGCCCCCCACCCGTTTTTTTAAAAGCCGGGGTGTTTGGAGCAGCACTAACTAACCTTCTGCCCAGCACCTGCGTCAAACAGCCGGGGGGCACATCCCTAAAGTTTGCCAACGCCCCGCGGTCAGGCCCCAGTGAACTGAGAAGGGCGGGGAACGGCCGCTTTCCCGCTGGGGTCGGCGCCCCGCGGGCCCCGGACCCTTTGCAGGAGGATGACTACTTTTGCTCCTTGACCGCCTTCCTAACCTGTGTGCGCGCAACAAAGGGGGCCTTGTGTTTTGCACACAAGAGAGCGAAATCGCCCCCAAGTCTACGCTGCTGCGGCCGAGGGGGAGGGGGCGCCGCCTTTGTTGGAGGTCCCCACACGGCCATCAAAACGGATACAATAGCGTCTCCCACACCCTCACCGGCCCGGGCCGCCCGCCGCCTCCCGGCTTCCCGGGGGGCCGCCGTGGGCTCCCGAAACTTCCCTCCACTCTCGCCGCTCCGCCACGGGAAAGCGGTCGGGAGACTCTGAGGAAACTTCGGGGACTCGGTCAAAACCGAAGGAATGATCGAGAAAAGGAGCCGGGGCTGGGCCCCAGAACGCCACCTGCGAGGCTGGGGCACTCCAGGGCGAGGTGGCTAACAACCGAGAGGAGAGCGATCCCGGGGACACGCAGCTGTTTCTAGAAAGGTCCCTGCTAGATGCTGCAGGTCCCAGTCCTGGTTCCGTCACCTCGTCTTCCTCTGCCCTTCCACGATGCCCCTCATGAAGCCCGGGCCCACGGTATCCCGGCCCAAGGTGCTCCCGGGGCCAAGGCAGGTGGGAAAGCGGGGACCAGCGCTGGGGAGCGGCCCAAAGTGACTGGGCGCGTGCCCTGCTCCGCGGGTCGCGGCCTGTCTCCAATGGGCTCACCCCGGCCGATCGTACAGGGGTGCATAGGGGGAGGGAAGCGGGTCAAGAAGTGAGGTGGGGGGCACCCACGGCGAGACATGCACGCTCAGAGCTGTGGAGGTCTCGCCGGGGCGGCTCCCCACCGGTTCGCAGGGAGGAGGCCAGTTAAACTGGCGAAGGCGGAGTGGGGGTCCTAACCAGCAGAAGGAGACGGGAAAGTAGGGGTGCGGACGGGGCGCCGTGGCCTCTCCCGCCTCTCCCCCACCACCACCTCTTTAACCCAGGCTCGGCCTGCGGTTCCGGCCGGACCCCGGGTCCTCCGATGATACACACACCCCGCACCGCGCTGTGTTCCACGCGGAAGCGTGCACCCCCGCTCCGCGAAGCGTGCCCAAGACCGAGCGAGACGGGGGGGGCTTGGACGCCAGCGCGGGAGCTCAGGAAAGAGAGAATGCATCGCTGAGTGCCCTGGCCCCGCCTAAATCGTGCGGTTCCGGCGCGGCCGAACTATCCCGGAGGCCAGAGGTTGCACCGACCCACACGCCCACCAGGTAGCCCGGACCCTGCGCCGGCGGCGTGCGCTCAGCCGGGCGCGGCCGATGGTACTCACGAGGGGTGCAGGCCAGGCGCGCGTCCCTCCAGGGCGGGCTCTGCATCACTCCCGGCCAGAAGATGGGCGTCCGGCCGGGCAGCTCGGCGAGCGGCTTGGGGTACCGTCCCACGGCGGCCACGGCGGCGGCACTGGGGCTGAAGTAGAGCCCGGGCGGCGGCGGCGGCGGGCTCAGGCTGCTGAAGCGGGGCAGGCCGGCCAGCAGCCCCGCGGGGGACGAGGCGGCGGCGGCGGCAGCCGCGGCGGCGGCGGCGGCGGCCGAAGCGGAAGAAGCAGAGGTGGACGAGGAAGAGGAGGAAGAGGAACCGGAGGGCGAAGCGGAGGGCAAGGCGGTCCCTGAGGCCACGGGCATGGAGGGCCGGCTCAGGATGTCGTTGATGCCGTGCGGGGTGGCGGCGGAGAGCTGCTGCGGGGGACTGCCCAGAGACGAGAGCCCCCCCGCGGCAGGGGGCTTCAGGCCGCCGGGGTTGTGGGCGCCCAAAGGCGGCGATGGCGACGAGGAGGAGGAGGACGACGACGAGGAGGAGGGGGGACCGGCGGGCAGCGGGGGGTACGCGGCGGGGTAGAGCGGGGTCTTCATCTCGGCCATGCTGTGGAGGGCGGCCAGGGGCGGGCTGCTGAGCAGGAACGCGCTCTGCCGGGTGCCCTCCATCGCCCCCACCGCTAACATCCCACGGCCAGGCCGGAGCCCGCAGCCACGCAGCAAGGGCGCGGGCCGGTGCCCGCGGCGGGGCTGGGGGGAGCGAGAAGCGCGGAGGGCACGAGCGGGGAGCAGCACCGCGCACCCGGCGGCCACCGGCCAACTGGGCCGAGCACGCCGCTGCCTAGAGTTGCTCTCGGAGCTGCGCCACCGAAACGTACAAACAAACACGCCGCTCGAGAGGCGGTGGCTCTCCCAGACCGGCGGGCGTCCGGGTGGGTCTGTCTGTCCCTTCGCTCCCGGACTCCTGGATTCAACCGCGGTCTCTTCTTCTCCTCACTTTTCCTCGCCGCTCAAAGGGCGCTACTTCCCATCTTCTCCCCCCGGGAAATAAGCAAAACAAACCCCCGGCCGGCCCCAGAGAGTTCGTAACAAAGTTAGGAGTCACCAAATCTCCACTTTGATGTCGGAGGGTGGGGGCTGGCTGGCTTTCTTTGGAGAGGTTCAAAGGACGCCGGGTTCCGCCCGAGGAGCTCCTCTAATCTTACGCGGAAGCCCTGCTCCTTCGGTCCCAGGCTGATTCGCACTCGGCGCTCGCGGCGCGCGGGGAGGGAGCGCCTCCGGCCCGCGGGAGGACCTCGCCTCGGGGCGGGCTTCCTCCGCCGGCCAGAAAGGGCAGTGCCTGGATCCCCACGGCTCCCGGATTCGGCGCGCCACTCGCCCGACTCGCCTTTCCCTCTGGGCGACAAGGCACTAGAGTTACAATATTGAAAGAGACAGAGGGGAGGAGGAAAAACACAGAAAAACAAAGACTACGTGTGAAAAGTCTGATGGCCTCGGTTAGGGCTCTGCGCGTCTGTCCACTTCTGCAAACGGGCCTGGCGACCCCCGCCCCACCCCCCGGCGTCCTCGCTTCCTCTCACTCGTCGCCTTTGCCTCTCTCTCGCATTTTCTTCGAGGCTTTACAGGCTTCGCTTCTAAGTCCTGTCCTCTGGCCAAGCTGACCCTCTCCGCCGCTCTCCACTCTCTCTCCTCTCCTCCTTCCCTCCGGGCCTGACAGTTCAGATGAAGCTCTCAAAGGTAATAAAACATTTGCATCACTCCCTACCCCTCTTTAGAGGGGGGACGAGAGGCTGGGGGGAGTGGGGGTCCAAAATAAGAACTTTGGGGGACGTCACTCCGCAGCACCGGGAGGGGCGGGGCCGACGAGCTGGGTGCCGGCCGGGGGCGTAACCACCGTCTCCAATAGCGCTCAACATTTGGCATTGCACCGCCTCTGGGGTGCGTCCACTCGGGAGCGCCTCTCCTTCTGATTGGCTGAAGCCGGGGGAGCCGAAAGGCCACGCCCTCCTGGTCCCCGCCCCTCTCACCTCCATCCCTTTTGTGGGTGGGGCCAGGGGGCGGTGCCTGAGAGTGGTGCGGATCCAACTGGGCACCAGTGGACGCCTCAATTAATTGTGTTAAATAAAATGGGAAAGGGGAGGGGGGAGCCGAGACGAGGAGGGTATTACTTTTTAAAGAGAAGAATAATGAAAACCCAGCCCTTTTATGGAAAAACAGTTCATATTCTTCCCGCGCCTCCCCCCTCTCCCGCTAGCGTCACCCTACCCCCTTCCCCCACGAGCTCGGGGCGGCTCACCTCGAACAGTCTGGTTCCTTGTAAAATGGAGCTAATGGAGCAGGCAGCCGGCGCAGCCCTGGCCCAGCTCCTTCTTTTGAAGGGATTAATTAAAGGCCATCTGGGCTCTCCCAGAATTGTGCAAATTAATTTGTTGCTCCTTAAGCCTATAGATGTCCTTAATCCCCTTGTAGGCCGAAGGAGCGTCCTCTTCCGTCTTTGCCATCTCCAGCTTGCTCTTTTACCTTTCTTTTCATTCCTGAGTCCCCCTCGATCATTATCATTTATAGTTTTGCATAATGCGCTGGGAATGGAATCAACTTAATAGAAATATTTATCTCTCGAGAAATGTTTAGACATGAGAGCAGTGAGCTTTTTAAAAAGAAACTTTTCTCCCCTTTGATTACTGTTATTTGTTTTGAGTTTTCACGGGGACGGCCAAAATTGAGTGGAGTTTTTAGATACTGAAGTATCTGGGTATGGGTCTCCGAAACTCTAGCCCATGCCCTCAACTGCAAGGTTGTTCTGGAAGATGAAGATGTCCTGTTTTCTGGCTGAAGTGATGGGATGCTAAGGGTTAGGAGTTGGAAGGTGGTTTCCTTATTCTCTCCCAAACTCTTCCATCCCTAGTGGGTCTTTAAATTTCCGAAGGGTTGACCTGTGTATGTAAGAAGGAAGACCCTTGCACAATTTTGGAATTGCAGGATGTTAAAATAGCACACCGTTGGCGTGTGTGTGTGTGGGGGGGGGGGTAGTCACTACAGCAATTTGGATGAGGTCATTAAGTCCAAACTTAATTCGCAAAATAAAACAGAAACAACTGGCTCAAGAATAAAACTTGAGGGGCACCACCCATTGACGGAGTTTGGTTCTAAGTGCCAACGCACTCACAGGAGTCCAAGCAGGAAAAGCTGGGAGGGCTTAAGCCGCTTTGATAACCTGCATTACCAAAGCGCTGGCCTTTAAAAAGGAGCAGCGGAAGCTGGAGTTTGAGGGGTTTTAAAATTTTTTATTTATCTTTTGCCACTTTTATTATTCACTTCTGAGTTTAAGAAACAGTACTCCTATTTGGTCCCCCCTCTTCCCTCTCCACCCTTCTGAATAAACTTTCAGATTGGGCTCCATCCATCACTTCAATAAGACCTTAGGGGCTGACACGGGAGAAGGTGGAGACCTCCGCTTGCGGGGAATTATGCTGAGCCCGGCAAGAAGAGAGCTGCTGTAGGGACGGGCTGCATTTCCCCGGCAAGGATGCTCTGCTGGGCTGTGGCTCTAAGCCCAGCGCCCCGGCCACTCTGCCTGGGAGGTGGCGGCTGGAGGGTAGTGCCTGGTGACCCGGCCCTGGCCCGGCTGCTGGGGCCCCTCTGCCTCTCACTTCGTTACAAAGGAAACTTTTTCTCGCCTCTGGAGACTCCAGTCTCCCCATCTGGGCCCGAGCCTGGGCCACCAGCGACTTCTCACATCCCCCGGCATTGCATTCTCAAGTTCTAGATAGGAAAGGAAAGTGAAGGAGGCTAGTGATCCCCAAAGATTCCAGTTTCAAAAGGCAGCGCCCCATTATTTCATGTACGTATTGTGACCCAGGAAAGAACTGAGCATGTTCTTATTGTAAACTTAGTATCTAATAAGGGGTGGTGTGAGGTCAAGAGACAGAGAAAAATTAGAGAGATGGAGAGAAAGAGATTCAACTCAGCCCAGCTCCTGGCTAAGTGCCCCTTTACTAAATAGCACTTGCAAAACTGGCTGCCAGTAGGAACTCGCCGTCCTTCACTTTTATTTACATGGCGGAATCAAAACAGCAGCATGGTGCTCAATGGCCACAGCTTAAAAACGCCGGGGTCTGTGTACATCGATCCCCGGGTGGGAACCCAGGTGTCTGAACCCGCGGGGGTCGCAGCATTCCCGGCGCACACTGCGCGGGGCCCAGCCAGGCCTGTGCCTCCCGCCTGGTGCCGCAGGTCACGGGTCTGTGGATCCCAGCGCCTGTGTCCAGCTGGGAGCCCGGGGAGTGAGGGAGAGTGAGGGGCATCCTCGGAGGGAGGGGGTGGGCTGCCCCCTCACTCTCGGGGTGAGAGGATCCTGTTCCTGAGCGGCTACAACCACCCTCGGGGGAGCCCTGCCCGCGGAGCCCGGAGCTGAAGCGGGAGGCCGGGTTCTGGCGCCGCCTTACAAACACCCTGGAGGGTCCGGACTTCTTCTCCCTCGGGGAACCCTTAGCCTCCAGGCTTCCTTGTCCACGACCTGGTCAGGTCGGACGTTTCTAAGCCATTCCCAGGAGTGGAACTTGTAGCAACACGTGGTGGCGACGGTCGGGTACCATCGCTGCACAGTCCATATATGAGGGGGGTGGGGAGCGGGGGGGGGGGCGGGGAAGAACTGTGTTTGAAAATGAATGATTTGTATTTTAATTGAAACATAAATGAAAGCTATTTGGCAAATGTTGAGGTCGCAAGAAAAGGCTAAAAAGTTAGGGGTGAGGAAGGCGACGCGCCCCTCAACTTTCTTTGAGACGAACGCGCCTGCTTGCCAGTCGCGGCTTCAGCCTGCGCCACCCACGCGCCCTGGGTCTCGCCCTGGACTCACCGCCCCGTGCGTGTTAATACTTGTTTTCAGCTGAAGGGACAGCCAATAAATTCGGGGTAACTCACGCAAGGAATGCAAATGAAATTCAGCTAAAGGTACTTAAATTCAGCGGTCTGGCATGAACGATGACTATTCTTCCCCGAATACACTCATGTCAAATGTCCGGGGACCTCAGGAATAGCCACAGGACACCAATTCCATGCTCGAAAAATCGGGGGTCAGAGGTAAAGAGAATTATGTGTGCCTCCGGCCAAAAGCCTTTCTAGAATGTGTTTGCTTGAATTGTGTAGATGACTTCTGTAATAATACCACTCCTGTAATAATACCACTTGGGCGGGCAGATGACTGGGCCTGTTTGGGTGGAACCCAGAGGCGGGCTAGGTTTGTGTTAATGTTATAAAAGAGGGGTCAAGAGGACCGCCAAGTAGAACCTCAAGGAATAAAAGGGAGTGTCCTGAAGCTTGGCACAGCCCGGTCTGGGAGGAGAGCATCGGAGGAGAGCAAGGGAAGCGAGCGCGCCGTCTCTGCCCCCTGCAAACGCTGTGAGGTGGGACCCCGACCCTGTGCTCCTTCTGCTGACCGGGGACTGAGGAGCCGATTTGGAAAGCGCTGGGGAAGAGCGGGGCCTGTAATCGCCTCCTGAGAACGAGTGCTGCAGGGCCCTGTGGTCGCGCTCTCCCGTGGAGGCCAAGGTAAAGCATGCGAGGGTGAGATGTTACCCGGAAAAGTCTCCAGCCTCATCAGGGACATCCTTCAGCGACCAGAGCGGCCGCCGGACACCCCGCCTCGCCGGCGCAGACTTCGTGCTGAGCGTCTCTAGGGGAATGCGTGCCCTGGGAAGGGAGGAGTCGGAAAGGTCCAAGAAGATGGAAAACACTAAAATCCAGAAATGTCTGCAACATCACAACCCGGATTCGGGAATGAGAGTAGATGCAATGACCTACTAGAGAGAAGGCTGGTCTTGAACTTCAGCGAAACACACATAACTTCAGCAAAGCACATATAAGTATGTATCTCCCCCCCCCCCCCCCCATAGCATTCGAAAAGGTCCATTCGCTTCTAGGGAACCAACTTGCTTTAAAGTATATTCTGGAAAACGGGATCCAGCGTGGAATCGTGTGCTTGAAGGAATGTCTGCGGTTGCTACAGTTTCCTAGCAGAATGAAGTGCTAACCCAGTGTGAGCCACCAAATAAACAGAATCTGATGTGAATGGCCGTGAAAAGCTTATACCTGGACGTACAAATGAGGTCCGTTGAACATAATTTAGGTGATTTTAAGGCGAATCTGTAAGCTAGTTCCTTTTGCTGCCCCGCTAGAAGTCGTTGCTTCTGGTTTGCGGGTGCGTGAATGTGCCGGTATTGGGTCTTTTCGCGGCGTGTGCGGCTCCTGATTCTTCGCTGAGAAAAGTTCTTTTACCGCCTGGCTGCTTCGCCTCCAGCGCCGAGTTCCTTCACGCTCCGTCTTAAAGAAAGCCTGGGCAGTTACCGCCCCCTTGTGGGAAAACTTCTTAGCCGGCCACTCGCTCTAGGGAAGACAAGCGCGCTGCCCTGTTGTTGTGTTAAAAGTACATGTTGTATCTATTTTCTTAACGAGATGGCCGGCCTTTGCGTAATACCCTTAACATTTGTTTAATTTTAATCTGAAATGCCAGGTTCAAAAGTCAACTGTGGTTCTGACGATTCTTGATTTAATTCAGATTAACAAAAGCCTTCTAAAATGAACATTTAAATTTTAAATCTTTCTTCCTCACCTATCCCTCTTCATACTCTATTGTTTGACTCAATTGTGATAAAGCAGATTTCAAGTTTTACTGAAATTATTTTGCTTTTCTCCTTTTCTTTCCTGATTATCAAAACAATACTGTGCTCAATACAGAACACTTAGAAAGTAC